TGTTGGTAATTTTCAAATCTTAAAGCACCAATACACCACATTACTCACGAGTAATACAATTATTTTGAATTACCGACGTGCTGTTATAGTCATCGGCAATGATCAATAGAAATAATCGTTGAACATCAATAAACATGAAAATCCAGTAATAAAGTTAACTAAATGTTCATATATTAATTAATGACATGATAATATTCACGAACAGTGGATTGTTTAAGGGAAACCTATACTCTACTGTTCGTTTAATAATTAATAGGTAGGTACCAACTACTTAGCTATACCTATACGAAACAGTTGAAAGGAACACGATATTGGCTGGCATCAGACTACACGTAGACGTGTTGTGCGATTATTAATTTGTGTATTCGGACCATTTCCTGAAGCTACGTCATGGACCGAAAGCTCGAATACACGTCGAGAGAGGAGGAGGAAGTGCGATTTCGTCACTGACATTCTCGCGTGTATTGTCGATTAAATCGACGCGTCGCTACACAAACGATTGAACGTGCAATAATGTGTAAATCTATATCATCAATAGGTAGGCATACTGGCGCGGCAGTGCCTGCGCGTCACACATACGTCACGCAAACGCAAAATAATTTTACATCGTCCGCGGAAGGACCGCACTTTTTCAATATTCGTTCCATCGTTGTGTGTGTTTTTGATTGAAATTATGGTACGTAAACCTAACACAAACCAGTGACAAGCCAGCGGATAAACGATCTCACGCGCAATAACAATATCATAATAATAATAATAATAACATAAATTTATATTTACATCAGACCGAACCCGACGGCTACTGCGCGCGGTCGCGTGTCATACACATAACCGAAATTTTTGTACCGGGATTTCCGTCGTCATGGGTCGCGAACGTCAAATGCCGCGGTGGTCCGCCACCTCGCAGCTCGCCGTCGCAGCCTTTGCGCTGTTTGCCGCCACCGCCGTCTTTCGTTGCTGCGGCTGTTCGACGCCAATCGACGCAGAAGTCGACCACCGCGGCGACGGGGCACTTTATCTGTCGCCCATGATACGCGACGGTCGAATAGACGAGGCGCGAATCAAGTGTCGCGTGCACCTGAACAACAGCACGGCGGAGGCGGTGAACAGTTGCGCCGGTTACCTGACCGTGAACGAGACGCACGGTTCCAACTTGTTCTTCTGGTTCTTCCCGGCCGCGAACCGGACCGGCGACGCGCCAGTCGTGCTGTGGCTCCAGGGAGGACCGGGCGCGCCCAGCCTGTACTCGGTGTTCAACGAGCACGGCCCGTTCACGGTGGACGCGGCCGGCAGTCTGTGGCCGCGCCGGCACGCGTGGACGACCACGCATTCCATGCTGTACGTAGACAACCCGGTGGGCACGGGGTACAGCTTCACCCGGAACGACGCGGGTTACAGCACTGATCAGACCGCCGTCGCCGCGAACCTGTACGCCGCCCTGGTGCAGTTCTTCGAGCTGTACCCCGAGCACCGGGACAACGAGTTCTACGTGGCCGGCGAGTCGTATGCGGGCAAGTACGTGCCGGCCGTGTCGTACGCCATCCACCGGAACAATCCCGGGGCCCAAGTCAAGATAAACCTCAAGGGACTGGCCATCGGCAACGGGCTCATCGATCCCGTCAACCAGATGGTGTACAGCGATTTCTTGTTCCAGTACGGGCTCATCGACGGTACCGATAAATTATACTATTATATTATGGGTTGTATCTAGGGGCGGGAACCGGGAAAATATTTTTGTCCCGGTAAATTTATGGTCTGACTGGCCCTTTTCATGCGTTTCTATTATTCAGACATCAGCTAAAAATCCAAATGTGTTTGCAATGTTTGTCTGAGAGTCTAATTCGATTTTTTTTTTTTTTAAAGAATATCTTTTTTTTATTCTAAACTGTTACACGGCAAACATAGGTTTTCATAATTATTTATAATAATTATTGTAAATATTGAGACAATATATTATTATTTAACGTTTTTAGATATTACGTTTTATTTACTTCAGCCTGCATTATATTATAGTATAGATATTGGGTACAACGTAAAAACCATAAACATATAAAGTATACATTTTTTCATTGAATCTGGTGTACTGTCACTTTACCAGACATATTTTGTGTTTAACTTATGGAATTAAGTATATTGAAAACAATAATTAAGTCAGAATTTTGTAATCAGGTTTAATTGCTGTTTGGATTTTATCCTTATGTTACTAATTAAATAAAGCGATCTTCGCTTCAATTATAAATAAATAATTGCAGTGGTGCATTGGAAACAATAGTCGATCGATACAGTCTAGTAAAGAGTTCGAAAACTATACGGATCAATTAAACTTATACTCTTCGATTTTAAACATTAGTGATATGTCGTAGTTGTTAAGTACCAAAATTCAGAAGTTATACACGGAACAACTTTTTTTTTCTTACAAAGGATATTAAAGAGACACTTTTAAGAAGTTACTTAACTGCTGTTGTCAACTGAAATTAAATATTTATATTCATTTTCAACGAGACCATGATAAAGAATTACTTTGTTTATCATTAATCATCGAACGGAAACCTAAAATAAAATGTTAAACTCCTAATGTAAATAATTTTCCGCACACAAGTGTTATGATATCATGAAAATACAAAACATAATACAAACCTATTTTATTATAAAATTATTATTGATGAAACATTTTGAATAAATATTTTTATTTAGCAATACGTAACTGAACGAAGCACACCGGAGTGCTTAA